TTGAAGGTGTCGAGGTCAAAGGCGGGGTTGATGTGGCAGGTGAATCAAGGTGACACACTGAGCAGCGCGGAAGTAGCGGAGGCTGCCGGAGCCTTGCGGATGGAAGAACACAATACTTTCCGGGAAAGTGCGCGGACACGGCGGAGAATGGTAAAGGAGTCGCCAGTCTCCCGAGGGTTGATGGCGGGCTATCACAGATGTATGATGCCTCGAGGATGAGGAAAGAGGGTGTTGTGCAGGAGTGACAAGAAAGGAATGGGAGTGTGTTTGGGGGGGAAAGTAATGGGCCGCCCGAACCTTTGATAAGGCAGAAGCGAGGACTATCGGGCTGGGAGGGAATGTGAGATAGCAGGCAGGAAGGCAGGCATCAGCCATGTATATCTTTCCGAGGCCATGTACTCGTCCAGCGATACGGCAGCTGCGAGGTACGAGGTAAGGCAACTACTAGGGCGGGGTAATCGGTCGGGGACGAGTATGTAAGGGCAGCCACTGCTTCAGTGCACCTGATACCTCCAGAGGCTGCTTCAGTCAGGGCACTGCGTCTGCTCTGGACCCCTCGGTGTCGAAGATAAGGGCAGTTCTAGAATGGCAGAGGCCTAGTCGGCGCCAACATGGAGACACAGACCGACTTGTGGTGGCATGGCAGCATAGGACGATGGAATGGCATAACGCACGAGTAGGTCACTGGTGCATGTCGAGACGTGGAGTTGAAGGTCACCGGGAACACTGCAGGTGGGGGGCCCCAAGCCTAAACAGGGAGCTTACGCCTTATCTTATCTTGCCCGCGCATTGGCCTCACCTCAGTGCTGGCACTGCACTGCTGGGCTGGCCGACTTGACCCCTCATTGCCTGGCACCGACGCCATCCACGAAGACGGAACGGAATCGCCCCCTCGGTTCGCCCGTTGCGTTTGAGGGAACTGTCACATGGTCTTGCTAGCCTTCGACAGCAAACGATGTTGGTTGGCGCGTCTCTGTCCCAAAGTTTCGACACCGAGGAGTCATTTCATCAAGCCCTCCAACAGGCACCACCTTCACGGATCTGGATCTGAAACACAACTTGAACGGGCTCGACCGAGGCCTATTGGCTTTTCTTCCGACTCGATCTGTCTTGTCGTTCCGACACACACCTCGAGCGTGCTTGATAGACAAACCGCGGGGTTCAGACCGCCGCCCAAGTGAAGGTCACCAGAGCTGGACCCAGCTAGAGGCCGTGCCGGGAAGGCCAGGAATAGGCAAGGATCATCCCCCCCAAGACAGGGATCCTCAAGGCGACCAAGTGGGCCGGGTTAGGCAGGGAAAGCCCCCCGCGGCCAGCGCACTGAGCGCAGTGGTTGCATCATCATTCTCCACAGCCGCACTTTGAGAGGGAGTGTTTGCATCTGACGGTGCCCCTCAAGCCCAACATCCCGTCCAGTCAGTCCCTTTGCCACCATTTCCGTCTCGGAATGTGCTGTGCGCAGCAGCCTATGAGGCGTCACGGATTTACACCTGATTTCCTGATCTGATGTCTGCCGCCGACAGCCTGATGCTGCGCTGTGCCCGACTTGCCGCCGGACCCCGTGCTTTTGCTCGTGCCCTGGAGCTTAGCTGCGAGTGATGCTCAGCTTCTCCCAGTGAGCATCTTGCCCTGCATCCTTCCGCCCATCCTACCCTGCCTCCACCACTCCCTTCACACCACCTCAAAAACAGCGGCTACCAACCAACATACCTATTTTCCCACGAGCCGTACACCGACATTTCGAATTCACAGAAATTCCCATCCAGGCCTCTGAACCACGAGACCTTGTCGTACCCTCCACCAGCTTCATCTATCGCTTTCACTTGTCACAGCGTCCAGTCACCGGGTACTCACAGTCACTCGACCATTACTATTTCGCCGGCCAAACTTACCTCATGGACTCCACCGCACAACTCTGCCAACTTTGCCAGATAACCTAGCCCGCCACCCTTCAGACTTTTCATCGTCCTCCCGAAAAGAGGCAGCAGATCCCTCTGCTTTCCCTTGACAACAGCACCGACCCGTGTCAGTCGCCAACTACACAGTCTCACCACCCGTCACCCTATAACCACCGCCAACATGCACGATCTACGCCTGAAGGTCCTCCGCGAGAGCGGCAAGACCACATCCCGCAAGGCGCGCTCTCGCCCCGAGTCGACCAGAGCGTCGACGCGAAACTCCCCCATGGGCTCGCCTGCCCCTTCGCAGCGTAACTCGCCCTCCCACTCCCGCGCCGGCAGCCGATACGCCTCCGAGAACGAGTCCAGCGATGATGAGTTCGAGGACTCCATGACCATGAGCACCCTCTCCAACGGCTCAGAAGCAGTTTTCGACGAGTCCAACGAAAGCACCTGGCAGTCGCTCCTCCAGGATCGCATCGTCGAGCTCCAAGACCGCAAGCGCAGCAGTGTCCAGAGCCGCGAGACCGCCATTGCCTCCTACCTCAACCTCGTCAAACTGCACTACGCAGATCGCCAGGTTGGCGGCTCAGCCTCGGACATCATCACCGCTTTGGTGCGGAGCGTCCGATCTGGCGGCAGCGCTCTCGAGCGGTCGCTTGCCCTGAGGGCCCTTCAGGCGACTCTACTCACCTCGCCATCCGACAGCGCCTACGATGACGTCTACCAACAGCTGCAGACCACCTGCGAGGATGACGAGGAAGCATCAGTGAAGAGCCAAGCCATCATGGCCATGGCCATCATGACACTATACGGTGGTGGATCCGAGCAGTCGGCCGAGGAGCTCCTCGACTTCATGGTCGGCGTGATCGAGTCGGATGGAGAGTCCATCGGCGCTGGTGACAACGGCGACGTCGTCACCGCCGCGCTGCAGGCTTGGGCATTTGTCGCAAGCCAAATCGACGACCTCAGCGACCAGGTTCACGACGCCATGGACGCCTTTGTGGAGCAGCTCGACAGCAGCGACGTCGACGTGCAGACGGGCGCCGGCTTCAACATTGCCTTCATCTTCGAGGCGGCGCGCGACCACGAGGAGGAGACGGGCGAAGTGTTCAACCTGCAGTACGACCCCAAGAAGCTCATCAGCCGCATGGCCGAGGCCTCCAAGCCTGCCGCAAAACACACATCGCGCAAGGACCGCAGGCACCTGCGGAAGCACTTTGCTAGCATCGTCACTTCGCTCGAGCACGGCAAGGGCCCGGGCTACTCGACCTCGGGCCGCCCCGCGTCGAATCCGCACACGGGAGGCTCAAAGGTCGAACATGACAAGGATCTCGACGAGTTTGGCTACCGTGAGAAGCTGCGGGTGGGCGATCACGTTGTCGTTATTGACTCGTGGTCCCTCATGGCTCGGATCGACGTTGTGAGGAGTGTGATGGGCAGTGGCTTCCCGGTCCACTTCAACGACAACCCGACTGTGTCAGAGCTGTTGAATGACCCTGATACAGAGGATCTGCCGAGTTATGGTATGTCGTCAGAGCCGAAGCGGAGCAAAAAGATTCGGAGGTAGCGGTGGCGATGGAAGCGAAAACGCAAGCAGAATGGTCGAGTCGAGACATGCTTTTGGATAGAAGTTTGGCAGAGATACCACGCAATGTTATTTCATCGAGTTGGCCCTTTCAAAGTCGTTTCGTACATGTGATGAGAGTCGAGGTCCAGGATACCATCGCAGGTGTGGATTTTGGTGAGCAGGACCATCTTGGGACTGTACTTCGAACCAGTATGACAGACCTGCTCTCGTCAAATCTGAAGGTCCAGCGCCTGACGCAGTTCTGTCTCGCAACGTGTGACATTGTCTGGTGAGCTGATCCCCAAGCCCCTCGCACAGCAGGCATGTCTCACCACACGCTGCACAGCGTATGCAGGAGAAAGGGGGCACCCGCAGGAGTCGTGCAGGTGAGTTCACCTCGACTGGAATAGTGAGTCAATGGCCCCAAGAACGAAACTGATATCTAGGCAGATCGGCGGATCAGCGAGATGAGGAATGCGGGACTCGAGGAGAAGCTTGGCAGATGGGAGGAATGTGAGATGGGTTTTCTGGAACAGTGCCATGCGGGAGGGGTTGGAATGCGCTCCGGACGGGCCGGCAGTCAGAGACCAAGATGGACAGGTCGCTGGGTGAGACTGTCTTGGGCTGTCTTGGGTCTGGTTCGACGACGCTCTTCTCGGTGGCAGGGGAGGAGAGGGGCAAAGGGGGTCGGAGGGGCGTCGAATCGAGGTGTTTGTGGCCATCGCATTCGAGTCTGCAGGACCTTTGGCGGGGCAGTTCGAGGTGTTGGTCTAGGACAGCTGGCTGTTGTCAAGTCGAGGACATAACACCTGTCTTGGTCCCAGCCTCGGCGTGTGCTGTCTTTCCGTCGAGATTGGGATGGACGCTGATTAACAGGCCAGGCTTGGCTGACTGTCGAAAGATGCCTCAGCTTGCGCGCGTCGCAATAAAAAGACCCCTCGGCAAGCCCCGAGGCTGTTGCTGGGCCGTTGCGACGCCCTGTGAAAGAACCTGACACGACTCGAAAGTCAAGGCGACCCGCATCGGGCGCTGGGGGGAAGCTCCAGGGGCTGTGAGGGCTGAGGGAGCTCTGGTCGGCAAGGCTTCTGTGACGCTTGGCTCCGGGAGGAAGTGGGACGATTGACGCCCAAGCTTGTGCCGGCGGGAGATCGTTGGCCGGGTGAACGCTGGGGACGGTGGTCTGTCGAGGCGGAGGGGGATGTGTTTAAAGCGGCCGCGGATTTGGTCTCACCTGGGCGACTCGGATTGGAGATGTGAGGTGGGCGGCTCAGCCACAGCACACAACGTTTCCGTGGCCGTGGCCATGTCCGGAGCCGACTTGATGCGGTGTTGTCTCTGGGGCTTTTGAGTTCGACATAGACTGAGTTTGTTGGAAGGTTAGTTCAATCATTCCAGTTTCTGTGTGAAGAGCCCAGATGTCAAATAGGAGTTGGCCAAGCGGGCTCTCCAGTAGTGGCGACAAGGATGCCCTGCTCCCAATCCCAACTTCCACGCTACTGAGCCACAACATTTGCTCCGTTACTCCATCAAAACCCCTCATGGTGTAGTTGGCTATCACGTTGGACTGTAATTGTTTATCTCTTTCATCTGAAGGTCACCGGCTCGATTCCGGTTGAGGGGAATCCACTTTTTGCTCTCTTATTCCACTGCATCACTTCTTGAGCGGTTAGTGTCGGGGCGAATACTTTGCTTTCACTTCTTCTTTCATCGACATTTCGAGTGCCTTGTGATTGTGCGCCCGTGCCGATGTCTCTTGCTGTGCTAGGGCCTAGGTCTGTCGAGTGGCAATGAGACCTCCCGGTTGGGTCACCGAGGTCCTTGTCATCTGCAAGCCATTGCATGAACCCAAGCACTGATAGGACGGCGATTGAGCGTTGAAGCGAAGCGGCTTCTTCTTTTTGTCCTATGAGAGACCAGGACTCGGCCAGGCCGACTCGGAAGGAAGAGGTGAGGAGTCCAGGCCATGCTGTGATAAGCCTCTGTCGCTATCAGACAGTCGATCCATTGTCAAACGGCCCACTGGCAGGGTGATTTGAATCTGGCCTGAGAAAGGGCGTTTGTCTAGACATTGCTGGCAAACCCTGTCCATCACAGGGGCCCTTGACTACGGTAGTGGCAATCAATCCATGGATTAAGTATCTGTGCTTGAGTGAAGCCAAGATCATCAGAAAATGCAGCCCAGTTTACTTCCTACCTATTCAGAAGGTTGAATTCACAAAGGCTGGCTCCCTGTGACGAGCATTCATTGGCGATTATTTCCATTCAGACCTCCAGGCCCTCCCGCCCGAATGGTGCTCCCCCACATCCGAACGTGGTGGCGTCAGCTGCCGCTTTAGGACACCAGCGGTGTCCCGGGGCACCGCCATTTGCCCCCCGCCCGTGGCACACCCGACCCGTGCTAGGCTGGTGCTACAACCCCGGCTAGCGGCTGTCATTGGCCCTGATTATCGGCAGCGACAACTCATCACCGCTGCAGGCGCACCGTGACCGCACCCTCTGGCTCCGGAGCCAAGCCAAGCAAGTTTGGACGATGAACGCCAATGGACGATGCCCCCATCCAAAAACAATGTGCCAAAGAAGCCTTGCCTTGCCTTACTCGCGGTCGATCGATCACATTCACTGTCTTCCCGGCGAGGGAGCCATCCGCAGCCAAAACTGAATTCTTGGCCCTGAGCTGCTCCTTCTTTCATTCTCTGCTTCCCTCCTTCCCTCCTTCCTCCAACCTCGGCCATTTCGAATTTTCCACCTGAATTTCCGCGTCCGCAGCACAGCGTCCACCCCCAAAAGCGTACGGTAATAATTAGCAGCTTCAGCGTATGATTCGCCACAACCTCGCCTTTCAGTTGTCCCGCCTCGATCCTTGCCTCTGCCACCAGCCCCACGAAGCCAAGATCCTCCCGTCCCCCCCCCCCGATTCTCATTCTGGACAGCAAGCGACCACCGGAATAAGAGGAGCCTCAGCGGAGAAGGGTAGCACCAAGAGAACCGTGCTGCGATCATCCCGGCCTCTTTTTGGCACCTCTCGACGACCCTGGTCTGGCTTGAGCCTGTCCCAAGCAACCGCCGGCCAACGACAGCTCCCCACGCACTGCCCAACCTCGCGCAACCTCACCTCACCACCACCAACCACCCACTTTACTTTCGCATCCCCGGCTCTGCCACCCCCCCTCAAGGCCTCAAGGGTCTACTCCTCCCACCCACCCGCCTCTTTCTTCTTTGCGACTCTCTTTTCCTTCCCCCTGCATTCCATTCCGTTGGTAACTTTGACCATCGACACACCAGCATTTCCTGGGCCTCGCGACGGCTTGTGTGCCTCTGCCGGACCGCACCACACTACACCACACTACTACGGTACTTGTACACTGGCACCACAGGCGGGCACCCGATCGATCCCACCATCTTTCCGTCCCGTTTTTGCTTGTCGCTCGCTGTCTTCAGCCCAGCTCCAACTTGGCCGCGCACTTGAGAGCGCCGCCCAGACTTTTACTCCCCAGTACCCGCATCGCCAACCCTCTGCTGATGGCTTGATTCTTGCCGCCATCACACCAAAAACCTGCTCGGCACTACCCTCCCCTCCTCCACCCCCTTCCCGGGAATTGGCGAGGACGAGCGCTCCATCAATCCCCACAGGCCGTCCCATCCATCTATCCCCTTGGCGACCGCGCGGCAACCGGCAAGGGCACCATGGGTATTGAGTCTCGAAAAGCTCCTCCACTTCCTGCTCCTACCGAAGACTCCTCCATCACTCCCACTGAACTCACCTTTGACGACCAGTCGCGCCTCGCCGACGAAGCCTCTCACTACTCGCTTCCCGACGACGGCACCCCAGTCACCATCAGGACCCGAGGCCACGACCCGAATCGCTCCCAGACCTCCCTCCTCATCGAGTACTTCGAGGGTGGAAAGCCTGGTTCGACCTCGGGCGTCGACCGCAAGCCCAGCGTCCGCGTCCGTCTGACCCCCTCCAGCAGGAACAAAGACCACATCCAAATCACAGAGACCAAGGGCTCCTCCAGAAAGGCCTCTCTGACTCGACGCATCCCCCTTCCCGCCTCCGGCCGCGCCTCTTCGCTCCCACCGAGCAACACTCTCGAGGCCGAGGACGCAGACAGCATCATGTCCTACGCCTCCGCCACAGAAGAGTCAAACGTCTCGAGAAATCCCATCGACATTGAGATTGATCCAACAAGACGCCGGAGACGCCCAGCAAGCCCTCTCATCCCAGCCGCCGACGCACAGGGCTCCGTCTACCAGCCCGCCAACATGTCCGAGATCTCGGCCATTCCTACAGACAGCTTCCTCGACGGCTCGGGGCCGACCAACCTTACCTCGCGCGACCTGGAATCAAAGCGCAGCCGGAGTCCGTCCCGCGGCGGTCAATTGGCTGCTGGTGCCGCCGGCCTCTCCGCCGGCGCCGTCCTTGCTGACAAGATGCGCAACAGCAAGCCCAAGGAGCGCGCCGTGCTGCCAAAGTCTGCCGACAAACTCAAGGAGAGAGAGCGCAAGCCGCGAACCAGCAAGACACGGACTAGCAGCACTCTAAGCGAGAAACATGTCGAGGGCACGCGGTCCCCACGCCGACGTTCCAGCCGCGGCCATGCCGAGTCCATGCTCTCCGGTGCAGACTCCAGCGTCCTCTCCTCGAGCATCTCCCCGAGCCACACAAGCCACAGATCGCTCGACCAGGGATCGGTCCGCTCCGGCGCCTCCAAGTCGTCCATCAACAATCCCAAGCTCCTCGAGACTGTCGAGGACGCCATCAGGAGACTGATCCTGCCAGAGCTGAGCGCTCTCAAGAGGGAGAAGAGCCGGCGCGAGAGTCGCCGCTCCTCCTTCACCTCCACAGCCACATCGGTGTCCAGGGATGACCTGTCCGCCACCGAGCGTCGCAGGTCTTCTGGCAGACATCGTGAGAGGCGCGACAGAGAAGCTCGCCATGACTATGTCCACAGCCCATATGGCGACGATGGTCTCGACTCTGTCGATGACCTCTCGTTCCACGAGAACGTCGAAGAGACCCCCCGAAACTCGCACGGCGGCATCAAAGCCGCTGCTGCCGGCGCCGCCGCAGCTGGTCTCGCGGCAGCTGCCCTTAACTCAAAGTCACCAGTCTCCGATGACAGGAAGCAGCGGAGACGGAAACGTGCCGACGGCTCAGTGCGCAGCCGCAGCCTGGGACGTGAGAGATATGACGAGGTGTTCGAGGACGAGGAGGAAGTGCCAGCGCCACCAATGCCTCTCATGGCGAGCGAGCTCAACGCCTCAGAACTCACCCGCACATCCATCTTGTCAGCCGACACCGACCGCACACAATCGACCATGGACGACCGCACCCCTGTTCACGAGGTCTCCAGGGGCAACCTCGCATCACCATCCCCGGCTGTGGCAGCGGTGCCTGCCACGTTGCAACAGTCTCTCGGCACCAGGCACGCCAACATATCTCATGGCGACCTGAGAGAGCTCCGCCGGGAGCGCGACTCGGAGCTTTCGTCCGATAGCCGCGTCGAGTCGCTGAATAGCCAGCAGCAATACCAGGACGACTACGATGACGATGAGTACGATTCCCGCCGCATTTCTGAGCGGGACGACTATGAGACTGGCGACGGCGTCGCACCCGACTACTACAACACCCAGGATGTGCCACCGCCGCTCAAGTACGTGCCGTACCAGCCTGAGCGCCGCGGCCTGAGCCCCATTTACAGCGTTTCTGGCTACACCGAGGGAGGAAGCGAGGCTGCCGGCCCCCGCGACTCGAGAACCATCAACGGCAGCCCCTCCCTGGATAGGCTCCAGGGCGGCAGGCTCACACCTGGCTCGGCCCCTAGCAACATCATGAGCCGAGGATTCGACGAGCAGTCGTTCGACGGCCGCAGCATTCGGAGCTCCGGCCAGGATTACCGCACATCTGGTTACATCGATGGCAGCGACCTCGAGCGCGTCGATTCGGAGCAGGCCGTTCACGGGATCGGAGCCAGTCCTCGCATCGTCCACGTTCCCACCGGCGTCGAGTCCAATGTTGCGTCGCTGGTCGACGGCTCCATGGTCGACCAGTCGGTCCTTACCGGTGGCGGGTCTGCGCTGTCGGGCGTGTCCGGCACCGACTATGATGTCCGCGACTCCACGCTCTCCTACGACGAGCGCCCCAGGAACCTGCACGCCTCCGGGGATGTCAGTCCGGACAAGCTTTCCGTCCGCAGCCAGCAAGACTACATGGACGAGCGCGACGGAAGCAGGACGCCCACCTCGAGCCGCCACAGCCGCTCTTTCGCTGGAGAATATGATCTCGACGAATACGGCCGCAAGGTGGTTCCCACCCGATACCGCAACTCGCCGTCCACCTCGCGACACTCGCCTACGGCCTCCGAAAAGGCGATTGCTCTGGGCGCTGTCGGAGCCGCCGCTGCGGCGCTCAAGGCTGCCAAGGACCGCTCCCAGCAGCCCACGGTCGAGGAAGAGGTGGAAGAGGAGGAGCTGGCGCAGGACTTTGTGCCCGAGGGCGTCTCCCGTAACAAGTCCTTCAAGCAGAGGACCATGGAGGGACGCGAGCCCGCCAACACCCCGGCACACAGCATCGATCGCTTCGACCTCGAGGATCGCCCCAAGATGGGTGTTAGTGCCATG